TGACCTCCTGGTTCATGGGTAGATGCTCAATCAGTGAGCCACTCTAGCTGGGCAGGCATTGGGATTTTTAAAAGTTCTGCGGGTAAATCCAAGGTGCCTCCAGAGTTGTGGCCCCACTGTGTTAGACCCGGCCGGAATCCAGCCCAGCACTCACTGGCTCTGAGTGTCGGCAAGTTGCTCAGCCTGTTTCCTTACCTTAAAGCAATTAAACAGAAGACATTGTTGTGATGTTGTTAAGGGAGGTCGGCCCACACCGGACCCTGACCCGGCAGCATGGAGCTGGTCCAGGACACCTCCCGCCCGCCACTGAAGTATGTGAAGGGGGTGCCTCTCATCAAGTACTTCGCAGAGGCAATTGGGCCACTGCAGAGCTTACAACCCAGGCCGGATGACCTGCTCATCAGCACCTACCCCAAATCTGGTAGGTGATGAGGACCACCCACCCGTGTCCTGGGCTGCAGTCCCCGCCTCGGGCCAGCAGGGGTGTGCGCTCAGCCCGCTTCCCTCCCATTTTCCTCTCCAGGCACCACCTGGGTGAGTGAGATCCTGGACATGATCTACCAGGATGGCGACTTGGAGAAGTGTCAGAGGGCTCCCATCTTAACCCGGGTGCCCTTCCTTGAGTTCAAGGGTCCAGGGTGTCCCACAGGTGTGTGGTGGGGTGCTGGAGGCCAGTGAGGTGGAGGGAGGGAGGGCCCGGGCTCCAGCTCACTGGACCTTTCCTATCCATGGCTTAGGTATGGAGGTTCTGAAAGATACACCAGCCCCACGGCTCCTCAAGACACACTTGCCCCTGGCTCTGCTTCCACAGGCTCTGCTGGACCAGAAGGTCAAGGTGAGTGGCAATGGCAGCGAGAGAAAAAGGCAGCTGGGGCCAACCCAGCTTTGGCCCCATCTTCTAGGAAGGTTTTCTCACTTCCTCAAGCCTGGTCTCATCTTAAACGGGGAGAGGTCGTCAACCTCATGCTCCGGTGGTCAGATGGTCAGTGACAGCGAGACTTTGCAGGCCTCGGTGCTCACAGGCCTGTGGAGGAGGGGCCGGAGGGAATTCTGCACACCTTGTTCCAAATCGGTACAGTGGCATTGAGAAGATTGGATGAGTATAAAATACAGTTCCTGGAACCAGCCAGGACTCTGGCATCAGAGCAGGCTTCCAATCCCAGCTCAGTCACATCCAAGGCCGCCTCTAAGCCTGTTTCCCTCTTGGCCAGACCGAGAGAGAACCTCCCTTACAGGGAGGCTGTGAGGGTGGAATGTGATGCTTAAAGAACCTCTAGACCAGGGGAGGGCAAACTTTTTGACT